TTCGTGTTTCTCCTCATGCAACCACTGGTGAAGAGCCTAACACCACTGCTGGGCTTTAAAACTCAAGCGATGGAGACGCGTGGGCCAGAATATTTTGCGGTTGCGTAATTTTAACGTCACGCAGTACACTGAATGATTCTTGAGCTCGCTCGATGGGATTGCCGTAAAATGGAACAGGAGGGTACGTGTAACTAGAGGGTCCTTGCAAAACCTGATACACATGTGGTCAAAACTGTGATGGCTTCACAGCAGCTGAAGGAAACCTAGTAACTTGCTGGACTGCACCAGGCATCATCACTTGATTTCTGTACTGATGGTATGGTATGAATATCTGGGACTGGGGCTGCAAAACGTGGGGTAAAAACCATTGGTCGAATCTGATTGGGGTAGCCAAATGATGAGAAATAAGACTTGAAAATAGGAAGGGCCTGCTGTGGTTTTTAAATGCTCCGTACTGGTTTTCAGAAGGTGGAAAATACCCCTGTGGATAATTCACACCTGCAGCATAAGGCATCGGATATACTCCTTCATTCATGCTCTCCACCCCCGCTGTTTGATGAGGATACTGTTGCACCGTGTCGGGTGTAAACCCTCGCTCCGCGCCGGGTATAGGTTGACGTGAAAATATGTCCACTGAAGACTCATCACTTGAACTAGTGGTATCTGCTGAAAGTTCAGCTTGTTTCGGACTCGGTTTTCTTGTCATTTTTCCTAATGGAGAAATGTCACTAACGCTTATTGGTTTGGTTTACTTATTACCTGGATTTTGTATCTTTTGATTGATTGTTTTCTTCCCCTTCATCAACTACTTTGTGCTTTCTTCTGCAAGTCCACAGATTCTCTTTTAGCCCTGGCGTACCTTGTGTACTTCTTTACAGGTTTGGTAAGTGTCTTAAACCTCTTTTTTTCTCCACTCCGTCCTCGACTTTAAAGCAAATGGTCTTGCTCAGACTTCAGCTTCTGAGACATTACTTTGAGGTTTCTTGCCAACGACATCAGGTTTTCGACATTCATTTGCTTCAGAAGAGGAAGGGGTAGCCTTGGAACCAGTACTTGAAGATGGTTTTTCCGCCTTTTTTTCGTACTCGGTTTTCTTATCATTTTTCCTAATGGAGTGTATGAAACATCTTCATTCATAAGGCTCAGGGGAGTGAAGGTAGTGCACTTCAGAGTAAAGTTTTGAAGAGTTGCAGAGGCGGCTACACTGTGCCAGTCCTCGCTACCTCTATTCTGGTCGCACGAATTGGATTCTGGCCGTTTTTCTTCAGTAGTCAACTTGGCTTGATCCTCTTCTAACTCGTCTGTAGTAGTTTTCTATTTAACTCAGGTAGCTATGAATATGGTTTACCTCCCTGGTTTTGAAATCCTTTCCCGCTAAAGTGCAAGAGCACGAATTTAGCCACTTTGCGTTTAATTCCATAGTTTTTCATAGTTTCAAAAGATATCTTATAAGAAGCAGCACTCTTCAAAGATTGTCATCAAAGAGTTGTATGTCATCCCCTCTTTCAGTAACTTCTTGATCGCCATGTTCTTGCTACATGCATCCAGTTTAAAAAAATTCTCAAAGGCAGAACAAAAGGGACAAATCGTTAAAAAAAATTTTAAAAACTCACGACTAAATCAAACTGTTACAACTGATAAGACACGCGCCGGCAGCCCCGCGAAGATCTGAGAACGAGTTGTTAAATGTCCCTACCCCTGAAAACAATACAGAAATCTAAAGTACCGGTAGATCTATAATAAATTATTGAATGTTAGGGTGATTCCTTTGTTTTGCACCGCATGGTCTATTTGACATAACAGTCGCGATGTTTACGAGAGGTACTGATTATAGGGATTTGATTGGAAAAATTTTGATGTTTTTGGAGAAAAAGGTCGCCTGTGGGAGGTGTTTGCACATGTAGTTCGACTCTAATACACTGATCTTCGAAACGTTTAGTCTATAGCTCTTTTCCTTTTGTACTTTCGGGATAGTGTGGCTGCACGTTTTCTTCTGACAGAAAAAAGCAAGAGACCAGAAGCATTAACGTATCGTTTACCAATTTTTAATCTTCATTATAAACTAAGGATCAAGCCTTCGTATAACATCAGTTTGAGTGTGCAACAACAAGAAAAATTAACAATTATTGGACGAGGTTGAGCAAAATATCGTGATTTGTCTGTGGCGAGCACATAACTTACTAACTGATCTGCGAGACCCTGACAAATCACGATATTTTGCGATAACCGAGTTCAATAATTGTTTTATCATTTGATCACCGAGTTTGTTTTTTTAATGAACATCCTCGGGAAGCTAAGCGATCGGCCATTTTCACGCAAAAGCGATCGCAAGAAGGAGAAAAGCACGGTCTCCTTTACGCATGTGCAGAATATTATTTGCAGCCAAACACAGTTGGACGGCACTGCCCATGAGCAGACCATTATTTGTGGGCAGTTATTTGCAGGTCACGTGGTGGGCTCTCGGCCAATGAAAAGAAAGATAATATCAATTATGAACTTTTAAAAAGGAAAAGGAAAGATTCAAACCATCCAGATAAACTATGATTAAATAACGTTAAGTCAGACAAAACTAATAAAATCATCTACGCATCACATTTAACTGCTTAATTATAGTAGTCTAGTGCTTAGCATTATCAACCATTTTCAAGCGTTTGCTGTTTAGAGATGCTCTCCTTTTCTGCCAGTCTTCCATTTCACTCTGTGCGGTTTTCCTCTCTTTGTAGGCAATTTCCATTAGGCCTTGAGCTACAACCACTTTGTTCATAAAATCTTTAGACTTCACTGCATCGCAGCTAATCTCTGAAGAAGTATTGTTTTAGAACAGCAGTTAGTGAAAAACTTGTTTGCTACAGTCTCTGTAAGAGTTTCTACGAAGACATGTTACCACTTTCGAACTCTTACAAAGAGCGTGATAGTATAAAGTGCTACAGATCTATATGGATATGCTCAAGCAAGATAAGCACAACCCCCCTCCCTCAAATTCTATCATTGGGAAGAAATCTGACGAGAAAGCTCACAAAAATAGCTAAAATAACTTACCAGTCATTGATAGAGGTTGTCAAGCGCTTTCAACGACATTGGTCATCAGTAATTTCTGGAGAGAAAGAATAGGGATTTTAGGAAAAATTGTAAAAACATTGGGCTTCTTAGGGATAAGGAAAATAATTAGGGATTTTTAGGGTCCCCAACATGCCTGATATTACTTTTTGTAAGTCTGGTAGAGAGAATTATAGACCTTGTCACGGTTTTCGACGCCATCTTGACGAGTAGGCAAACGCGTGAGAAATTACAGTGATTGTATGAGAATCTAATGTCGACACATTTCCGTAGAACGACTGTTCTGAAAAAAATATGATTTGTAAACTAACGCTTCACTCCTAAGGATTCTCCTGAAAAAATTTGAGGGCGGTACATGCACTAGAAGACTTAGAACCACTTTTTAAAATTTTCTATACATTTGTCTGTAAGTAAGTCCCGGGAAAATTACAGACAAATATATGGAAAATCTAAGGAAGCCAAAGACCGTGAGAAAAGCAAACAAATTCAGGCTCAGAGAGCAAAACTTTCCCAGAAATTGTTGATTGGAAGAAGCATGAAAGACTTGGAAGTGAGTGGGTTAGAGGTGCAAGAAAAGAAGAGCAGAACTGAGGTGGCAAAAGCTATTGGAAGAGTTAGTAAACATGGAGATGAACGACGGAGGCTTCTTTCAATTGTGGCGTGGACCTTCAGTCAATCAGTACTGCAGTCCTACTTCAGTTGCTCAAAGAGCACCATAACAGCAGCCAGAGTTCATGCTATATTATTTGACAGGGGCGGTGTCCCTCAAGATGGACTCCACTTTACGAGGCAGGCTGTTAGTCCAGAAGTAATTCATGAATTAGATGAATTCCTTCACCAGGATGAAATATCCCGTCCATCATCCTGCAGGAGTGTTCTCGTGGATGGAAAGGAAACTAGTGTTCGATACTGGCAGTAAGGAGCTTAAGCGCGAGGACTTTTCAAGACGACGCCGCCGTCAATGAACGGTTGAGACTGGGAGTAGGTCCATTGCGCATGACGTACCCCTGACAAACGACGTCGCCCAGCCACCGACGACCGACGTGAGTTTGGACAATTTGACGGCGTACTGGAAACGTGAGTGATTTATGAGATTTTATTGCTTCATTGTTTGTCTGTCTTTCGGAAGTAAGTGTTAATTTTTTGGATGTTTAAAGGTTATTTTCTTTTGCAATCTAGTGTTTATGTATGGAAAACGTTTTCTGCAGTTTTTCTGGTGAAGTTGACATAGTTTAAGTGCCCCTAACCCTTCAATTTGTGTTCTTTTGGTAGATTTCCATATCTTTCAAGAACTCATTTTGGAAAAAAATTTTTTTTTTACGAGCGCTAAAAGTTACTGAAATTTTTAACTTTTCGTGCGCTATGAGCCCCGTTGGACAAATTTTTGTCTCGTGGGCACATTAGGAACGAGCCAATGAGAAGCGTCGGATATTTGACACTTTTTTAGCTGTGACGTAAGAAAAGGACACCATTCCAAAGCACGAAGCATTGAAAGTATGGTGCAATCGAAGATTATTTCTTAAGCTTACAATTGGTTTGAAAATATGTCCTCTTCCGAAGAGTTTTCGGACACAAGTAGCGAGGAGTATCTTTCAGACGATTCAGAATGCCTTGACTTTGAAGAAATAAAGACGCCGGGGTCCAGTGTTTGCGCGACTCATTCACGAACTTTATCCATCGTTGTCTTCTTCGGCGGACTTCAGGCCTCGGATATCAGATTTTTTTTTCGAAAATGAGTTCTTGAAAGATATGGAAATCTACCACAAGAAAACAAATTGAAGGGTTAAGGGCACTTTAAGTTTGGTTATCCTTACTCAACCTCCCTTAAAGCCGTTATCAAATACCTTTCAGAAAGTACAACTTTCAAGTTTATTCAGAGGGCAAGCAAACATTAAAAAAAATTATGGCTATTGACATTTTTCTGTTGATTTATTTTTAGAGTAATGCAGTGGAAACCGGAGCATGATGCCATATTTTTAAGAGAGGTCCTTGCTTCAGATCTCTATTCCACTCACAAAGGTAGCTCTGAAAGGGGAAAAATTTGGTCACAGCTTGCTGAAAAGTTGAATGAAGTGTCCAGCTGTAAATTCATTGTTACACAAAACTCCCTAAGAGATCGTTTAAAGCTTTTGACGCAGAAGCACAAGCAAAAAATTAGGTCAGAGAAGAGAGCTAGTGGAATAGATCCAGAAATGACTGAGATAGATATAACGCTTGAGGAAATTAGTGAGAAAGAAGTGGCAGAAGAGGAAGATGAGACCAAAAAGAAAAAAAGCCAAGGCAGAAAAGGAGAGTGTAGAGAAAATGAGGTTAAAAGCCATGGAGAAATTGAGTGAGAGCAAGAAAAGAAAGGATAGCAACGAGGAAGCTCGGCCCAAAAAGAGCACAAAGAGTATTGGTGATGCTGTGAGCTACCTACAAGAGAAGTCAAAGCAAGAAATTGCTTTGAGGAAAGAGGAAATCGAACTGAAAAAACAAGAGGAGGGAAGAATTGCCAATTTGTCTGAACAGCAACTTAAAATGCAGCAAGACATACTGCAGATAATCCAGCAGCAACACCAGAATCAGCAAAGACAAAATCAAGAACAGCAGAGACAGCAAGAGAGGTTTCAGCAGCAACAACTTCAAACCATGCAGTCCATTCTAACCCAACGGCAACAACAGTCACAAGCAATGCTTGCTTTGCTTGAAAAATTTGCTACCAAGAAAGATCCCTGGACAAGGGAGGTACTGTACCATGGGTACATCGAGACACACATGACTGGAGACTGAGCCCACTGTATTTACAGCTGTTTTTGTTGTGCATGGTCTTAGTTTAGACACCCAGTAGAATACCACCATCTACATTCCCTAAAGGATTCAGCAAAAACTGTTTGTCTACTTTTAATGATAGAGTCAGTTATAAAACTGACAAATTTAAAAAATAGTTTTTCAGCTTAACTAAGTTGGAGGTTTTACAGACTCATATTTGGAATATATTTTTCTCAGTTTCATACAAGTTATCTTTTGTCAAAAATACTTAGTGTCAAACAAAATAATCTTGCAGGCTTGGGGGATCTAGCTGAAAATACTGTAAGGTTTCATTTCCATATAAACATGTAAGGGCATTTCGTAGTAAGGCAGATACAACATTCATTTTGCCAACGCTGAGCCCCACTTTCAGATTTTTCTTGAAGTCTATAAATTTAAAGTAGTTTTGGACATCTGCAAATAGCCATTCAACCGATGTTCATTGACTGGTTGTAAAGCTGCTTCTGAGGGGTGAGGTAAGCATCTCTAAAGGGGCCATGCGGATGAACCCTTGGGGGGTAGGCAGGGTCCCCATATATGTACATTGGCTGCCCTGTTGTTGAAAATGTATATTCTTCAAGATCTTGGAGTAGTCCAGAATCTCTGAGCATACTGGCATCATGCCTCTTTCCCTCTAGAATAAATAGGGAATATCTTATTAAAAACCTTCATATAGACATTTATTGTTTAGATGCAATTAAAGTCAATCTATTTCAAGTGACCAATCTTTTAATAATACACAGGCTTTGGTTATGAATGTTTTTGGCATTATAAGGGACTGATCAATATACCAAGTAAAACCATAACCTTTATAACATTGATATAGGTACAGTTAGATGAGAGAATATTCCATTTCCCTTGCATAATTTTTTTTATTATTTTAACTACTTCACACTATGTGTGTACCCTGTTCAACATCAGTCCATTGTATTGTTGCACGTGTGGTCCAGTCAAGACTACTTGCAGCAATATACAGTATATGGTTTTTTTTGCCTTTGTCAAAGTTCACATAGCCCGTGACAGAGTTAGTGTTTGGCATTAGCATTTAAACGAGTGAATTTTTCTGTTGGTTAAGATCAATATTTTGTGGTTCATTTTATTGGAAGGGCTTTGTCATCAGTCTTTAAAGTTTGTTTTAGGTGGAAGAGGGTCAGAAAAACATTGAAGTAATCGACTTATGGTTGGAAGACACAAAACAAGATGCCTGGTTCACCCAAAGTGCCCTGGACATTGGTTTTAGGTGGTTAGAAAGTGTTTTAGGGTTTTCAGTCTACTTTTTTTCTGGTAAGTGAATAAAAGTTAATGGTCAAATAGATTAAAAATTTGGAGGCTAGAAAAGGGGCAGGTCTGTAATACTCGATTATTTCAAAGCTCCTTCATGTTTGAGAACACTGCTGGAGTAAAGGTAATTTACAGGTACACAGTATGGGCAAAATATGCCAACTATATTCTTGTTTTCTTTCATTATTATATGGAACAAGTTTCATGATATTCATCCCCTCAGGCTCTTATTAAATTTGATAGAGAATCTTTCAAGATTTGATTTCTTATGGTTGTACTTATGATACTTTAAATTTCCATTTGAAACCCCTAAGAAATTTGGATTTTTTAATTGGCCAATCACCCTCAAGGAAATATGCTGATATTGAAATTATAGAAACAGTATAATAAAAATGGGTTTAAAATGCTACTACAATTATTCGTACATGTAGTAGGATCTTTGAGTGCAGGCAAACGTTGTAAACACAGCCATGTAACAATGTATTCCAGTATTAATATTTTACCCTGTGCTTAAACCCTCTTTTTCTCTTTTTCTTAGACAATGGACCACATTATCACAACAGTGGGGTTCTTTTCTACTTAGCGGAGGTCAACAACGTTTTCAATTTTCCGTTGAAAGAGTATAATAACTTCGAAACTGGAGAGGGAAAGTCCAGGCTCGATTGACAATTTGCACATATCAGCCACAAAATTGTACGCTGGTTGCGGTTGGGTAATGATTTGGAAAGTGGAGAGCAAGTGGCAGATTTGATAAAGGTAATTGTTTTATTCCCAGTTAGCAGATGGGACGGTTGGAAAGGGTCTTCCTGTAAGTACCTGGAAATTCAAGTTATGGCAGTTTCGCAGTGTTCCATACAGATGCGATGAACAAATGACATATTATTGAAGACCTGAAAATACCCTGAACAATACCCACACAAAAGCAAACCATCAATAGTTTCCACAACACTGAGAAACATTAGTATTGTCAGTTCACATAGTAATAATACAGTGATACAGTGTTGTAGTCGTTTATTACTGATTAGGCATTGTTTTTATATGTGTATTTTGTATTGTTGTGAAAGCCGTAAGTTAGATAGCTCATTGGGTTATTACGTCACCTTCGTTAAATGAAGAATATTGTACATAGCTTGTCAGAAAGCAAATTAAGATATGCTCTAAAGTAGTTTTACATCTCATGTTAGAAAAAAGCTGTTTGACTATGAATAAAAGATTGATGGGATAAGTAAACCTCCTTCTTTTTGATAGTTATATTATCTGGAAATAAGAAATCAAGTAACACGTAGAACAAAGGAAAAATTAACATGATCATGCCATATGGACCAATATTGTTTCGTGACATTACATATATGGCCATAATTATTATGAAAACTTTGTTTCTAAAGACAATGAAGAATGCATCTTGCAAGAAATTAATCATTGATCGCTCTAAGGCTAAGAAAGTTGGAACCTTGAAAGACAGTTCCTGTATGAGAATTTCAAATTTCCTGTGAAAGGCGATTTCACTGGTGGTATAGTATTGAGATGCTTGGCAGGCATCGGGCAAACCATCAGCAAGTCCAAGGTTCAGCTTTCACAACAAACTAGATGGCCTGAAAACCCTGCTGTCCAAGCTCTTCTCAAAAGAAGAGTTGGCTTTTTCTTAGTTTCAGGGCAGCAGAGACGTGCCCTTAAAAAAGAATCTCGACAATTACTTTATGGTAAGTAATAATAATAATTTATTATTTTCCGGCACATGAAGTGTTTACACGTTTCTTAAATTTAAATAGACTTATGACAATTAAGAAGAAAACAACAATAGCTTTATAATAAATGATCCTTTTAGTATTTGGTAAGATAGGGTTTTTCAATTCCTACAATCAAATGTCAATTAAAACCCATCTCTTTTAATTGTCAATTTTTAGTGGCCATGAAGAAATACAACTGCTCGCAGGAGGAAGTTAACAATATGATAAGAGGACAACAAAAAAGTTGAGAAAACAATTAAAGAAGTAATAGTAAATATTGATTTTTTTAATATGATATGGCACATTTTGTAGAATAATCGAATTTGATGTGCAATAGATTAAAATGATTTTCACTTTAATCTATATTAAGTCAAACCATTATTTCATGAGAGTTTTAACATTTCACTATTTTAATCCAGGGGGACATTTTTTAAAAATTTAAGTTTTTTGTACTTTGATCAACACAGTCATGTAAAATAGATGATGTAGGTTATTGCGAACTAAAATAAAGGCACAAGTTTTAAAATCATTTTCCAATTTTGCTGGTCTTTGAATTACTTTTCTGATACTGACTTAGTCAGCTTAAAGACTGAGTAAGTCCTATGCCCGGCCCTCCCGTTTGTCTGACCTTAACTTTGCTTTCGGTAATTCCCAGAAATTCCCAAGAATTCTCGGGAATTCCTGGGAATCGTTCTTCGTATTATGAAACCTCTGTTTCCGGGAATTCTTTCCCAACAATTTTTCGTACTTGGGCTCCCGAGAATTCTGGGGAATATTAGTGCAAATTAACGCTTAGGAGTTTTCTGGGAGACCCCGGGAATTCCCAGTATTTTTCTGAACAATTTCGCACCGGTTAGGAGATGTTGAGATTAGGGATAGTGGTCACACAGACCGAACCAATCAAAATGAGGACATCAGTAAGCTAACTGATAATGGAGAGGAACAAATGGCCCTTCAGTTTGTCCCGGATGAAGAAGTCGGCTTTCTGGAACCCAGAATTAGAAGTAGTAACACTGAAGACCTTCCCTATGAAGTGTTAGAAAAAATCTTCAAAATCATTTTGATGTTATCACCCGTTTATTTGCTGGTAACGCATGCCATGCGTACCAGAGGTTACGTGGCGTGAATTGAAGACTTAGGGCGGTTGCGCAAAATCTAACTCGAATGTTGCCAAAGGTTTATATCCCCCGTGGTGTAGAATATCATGTAATCAGTGTCCGCAGGATCATCAAGGAATATGGACCCTCAAGCGGTCTGGTGATCGAGCTACGATGGATTATTTCCAACCCAAAATGGGCAAATGCCTGGTTGGCCATTGAAAGAGGAGAGTACGGTTGGTATATGATCAAAATAATTTTTGGAAAGAGATGAGATTGAGGAACACCAAAAAAACAAACAAAGAAACAATATGACTACCTAAAACACCTAATTGCAGAAAAGTTACCGTTAGTTTTTTGTTGCTAATGTGATATAGTTTTTTTGTGAAAAAAAAAAGTAAGATCGGTATCAAAAGGAAAAATAGGAAAAAGGAATGAAAGGAAAAGCAACATTAACGAGCCCCACTGTAAGTCTCACTGTAAAAGAATCAAAAGAACTGTTAATGTTTTGATAAAGATATGATGTTGAACTTGTGTCGTTACATAAGTTTTTAAGGAAGCCCTACCTTCGTTTACGTTTGTTGCCGTTGAAAAAAGATGCAACAGTGACAAGGCAGAAGAGGAAATAGAAGAAGAAGTGAAGAGAACTTCTGAAATGAGAAGCCTTGCTATAAAGCAATCAACGGAATTGTTTCTGATGTTGGAATGCTTATTGTCAACAGGCACTTGACTTAATAATTGCACAGTTTTCAAGAAAGTCTAGATTCGTAAATTACAAGTTATTTTTAAAATATT